ATTGAGACTGCTGATTCCCCGAGGGCGACTCTGCTCTTCATCTTTTCTCTTGTAGGTACAACATCCAACACACAACTGTGGAACTACCTGGCAGTCGTAGCACAGTGGGAACCACCAGCTCACAAGTGCAAGAACCTGGACGTTCACTGTCCGAAGCCTAGAGTTCTGTGACCTGACTTGAAGTAGATATATCTACTTTTGAATATATATTCATATATTTATAATCCATTCCGATGTAACTTAGGAATGTTTTGCAAAAGCAGTACAATGTAATTATGGTGCCGTGGTGTTTTATATTCACGATAATCACAAACAGAACGTAATAAAGGAAAATGCAATTCAGTATGTACAGACTACTAGTAAAGAAGTCTTTACTAGTGGGTGTTTACCCCGCCAGCATCATCGTCCTTTTAGAGTCCAATTAGAGTCCTTTTAGAGTCCCTTAGACTCTCTCAGAATCCTATTAGAGTCCTAACGCACCCAAATCGGGTGCCTAATGAGAACTCTCCATGTGGGGCTCTAATAGGACTGTTAGAACTCTCATAGTATACTGAAATCAAATTCTGTAAATCCTCTCGATGTATGCCATTAACGCACTATTTCCCCTATACGGTAAACACATTTTTTGATGTAATGCAATGGTAGAAATGTTTGCGTTTCTCGACAACCATAGTAAACAATAATGTGATATAATACATAGGGGCCGCATCTCAACCAGCGTGACATCAACACTCGGGGCATCGCTTAACTGACTGGGATAAACGTTCTTTGTGACGACTTGTTTACTTTTTAAAAGTTCGTACCTATAGGGATAAGATTGATTCCATATGCGACCGTATAAAACATCGCATTTGACCAAAGATATATAGGATTGTCACAGATAAAGATATACCTTTATCTGTGACAACGATGTAATTATTGTCGAAGAGGATGCAAATGGAAGTAGATTAGTATCCGTTGACTGCTAAACCGTAGAATAAACTCATAAAATGGGCTTTAAAACTTTATATATATATATATATTACTAAGTAGTATGTGAATGACGACAAAATTTCCCTGGAAGCACACAAATCATAGCATTAATTCTTCATTGGACTGACTCTGAAAGAGCTTTCTATCCAATGGTCACCCGCTGTTGTAAATAAGGTTATTGCGACGAATATATACATATAACGCCTTTTCTTCCTTCCGTTGAGTAACCCATTTTTGTTTCATATTGTACACTCAAAAGGGCCACCCAACGAACGTTCAGCGATGTACCCAAGAGACCATCAACGAGACACTCGTGCTGCTTGGGTACAAACAAAAGACATTTCTGAGTAAGCCGCATGGACTTCACATTTTCTTCAAAAATTACTTGTTTTCTTCCGACCATCTTGAATATAGCGTTCACGCATCTCATGTCTAGAAGAAAACGAAGGTAGACTAGTAAAGCACTACCAGACCTTCGATAAGGTCTCGCACAGACGGGTTGTTGGAGATGCTGAACACTCATTGTGTCGGAGACCCACTAATACCCTGGATGAAGAATTTCCTTGTCCGGCGAAAATTTGCCGTGAGAGTTGCCCAGGCGCAATCTTGTTGGTATTCAGTCACTACTGGTGTGCCGCAGGGTTCCATTTTAGGCCCAGCTGTTCCTTCTGCACGTGACTTGTCCCCCCATTATAATCTTGCCTGATTTTCACAGACGCTGTGAAACTGTGGAGAGCCATGAGACAATCGGAGGACCACCACGCACTCCAAAAAGACTTAGTCAGACTACTCATTGGGGCGGATGTGTGGAGCTCCTGGCCAATCCGGCGAAATGTGCACATATGCGCCTAGGATAAGAGACACTGGATCTTCCTCACCAGATGAATAACGTCTCACTGCGTTCAGCGGCAGCTGGGCGGGATCTAGAAGTCATTATCTCATCAATGAAGACGCAGATGAGCACCATGCGGATATATTCCACCACAAGGAGCATGCCTGGTGCAATACGTCGATCTTTTGGCCGTCTGTCGATCATGGTCTTCAGGAAGATGTTTGAACATATGGACATGGCGGACCAGCTGTTTACTCCTGTTTGCCTACCGTTTTTTTTAAACTGAAACTGAAACTGTGCCTTCCGAAATGGTCAATTCGGAACGGGTACAGCGCTACTCCACTGGATTAGTCATGGGACTTCTTGGGATCAGCTATGGAGTTCAGCTCCATGCACTAGGGCTTTTCCCAGTTAGCTACAGGAGACTCCGTGGGGATTTGATGTATCTGTGGAAGGTTCTCCATGGTTATCTGGGACCGGAGCTGTTATGTCCGAATCCCGATTGATCACAATGTACACAAGATATCACACGATGACACACAAGAAACACACGTACCTCAACGGCCACACTAGTCGTCTAGCCCCACGAGTACGATCACCGCACAGATTGGACGCCACGAGCACTAGTAGCCCTCTCCCAGCTACGTAAGCAAGAACACAGATAGTGCACAGCGAACGTGTACTTGACATAGGAAGCAAGTCAATTTACAAGTATTACTCTGATGCTTATATGTGACTCGAAATAGCATCGATTAATACAAGAAAAAGATTGTGCCAATGAAGTACACAGTTAGCAAAGTTCAATCGGTCATAGATCACGGATCAGACGGACGGGCAGAGTGAATATTTTCGTATGACGCAATATTATTGATTAATTTCCGCGAGATTATTATTGGTTCGAGATGCCCCTAATTGAAAATACTCGAAAAATGGGCAGTTTTAGGTAAAAATAGTCTTTTTACCTAACAGGAGCGACGTTCTGTGTTTCCACTATAGGACTGTAACCGGACGCGTGGCCACAGTCTTGAGTCTACGGGACTTCCTTTGGTTTATCGCCTTTCCCGGAGGGCGACTAGTCTCTAGAATTCACTCCCGTCCGAGGCGGTGAAGGAGCAGAACGAGACACAGTGCAAACGGAGTACATCATTGAGATGTTTCAACGAGCATTTGGTGAGACAGCGGTAACTTGTGGGTTGCTATCGGTACGGGCAGTGAAGAGGCTCAAACGGAGCTCAGCTTCCCTCTTCTATACAGGAAGATGAAGATATATATCCTTGTGTGAGGACAGCGGTATTGATTTACTTTCAGGTGCAGACTGTCCGCTCCGGAGTGTGCAGACGATATCTTGCTTCAAAGTGAAAATCCACGTTAGCTGTAAACTATTCTGGATAGCTTGAGCGCTATTGTAGCCATGTTCGGCATGCGTTTTACATATTGAAGGTGTAAAATGTTGCTGCAAGATTGGGTTGACCTAGCCTCCATCCTCACAGTAACTGGAGAGGCGATAGGAAATGTCGAAAAGTTCTGGTATCTGATTAGGTACATCTCACCTGGCGGACGCTTCACGGATGAATTGTCGACACGCATATATAAGACTCGGTTATCATTTGTCAACTTGAGACATCAGTGGCACCGTCTCTACATGCAATTATATGTGAAGGGTCCAGCAACAATTCGGCCAATTCTTCTATACAGCGATGAAACTTGACCAATAAAACGATACCATAAAAGTAGACTGCCGTTTTTCGAACACCGCTATCTACGCAGCATTGGACCAATCTGGTGAGGACACTTAGATGAACGATTCCGATGGTAGGCGCAGTGTTTTAGGTAATTGCGATAACCCACTGGAGCAAGTGGTCAACCTCCATTGATTACGTTGATTGGGAAATGTGTTACGCGCGTTGCCAAATAGGTTGTCACGGCGCACGATATTCGTCAAGTCAGATAATGGATGGAAAAAGCCAAAGGTTATCAAAGATGCCATATAAAGGTTTGACAACCCTACCCAGGAGACTTGGTCATATAAGTCGCGTTAGGCTCCCAGGATGGGGACCCTGAGATCATCGTAGAGGTGTTCAGAGACAATAAGTGATATGGCTGAGTGTTGCGAATAGTGGCCATTGTGGATCTATTTACTATTCTTGCAACCCCATTCTGTATGTCTTCTCCATCCCCTGTTTGACTCTGCTCTGAACTTTCTATTCTTCTGCTTTTGTATCCAAATGAGCAGTCAGAAGACAGCAACCAACACCGAGGTTGTTTAGTCACTGTCACCGGTCGCCTTTCGACCTTATTCTCCGAGGTTCGAGCCTAGCTACGGCCACCCAGCTTTGTTGTGGTGCAGTTAATGCCACGCCTGACCTAGAGGGGCCTTATGTGGCTCGCCAATCCCGGGGCTTAGATTACCCGTTTCCATCTCTGAACACCAGGTCTTTGTGACTATGGGGTCCATCCTGTTTGCTGTGCACAAAAACGTATGGTTAACGGTTGTAAAACCAACTTAAAAACGTCCTCGGAGAAGAGGAGTAAACCATTGTGAACTGGTATAATAACCCATTCCTCTTAGTTCCCGAACTCACGAGAATACATGTGAATATCAGGATCTATCTCATGCATATCATTTTTATCCCGTTTAACGAGAATATTCATATCGTCAGATTTTTTATTCTGGATCACATTTTTTCTCCTTATTTAATCATACCCTTACTATTATTTGCTTTGTTTAGATTAGAACATACCTCGTCCGAAGTGCACATTTACGAAGTCTTCATTTCCTTCCTTTTAGTGTGTGACATTGATCTATGTTTTTAAAGCCGGTTACAGTCAAATCGAATAACAAAATCAAAGCTTCCGAAAAGTGAGTCACTCAGAAAACCCCCTGAGTCTGGTTTTATTAGGAAACAACTGTTGGAAACATTTCGTTCACAGTATGCTGTAGATATCAACAACTTCCACACGGTGTTTAACACTCATGACGTGTATCGTGTCCGCTTGTCAACAAGTTGTAATACAATGGTCACAGTATACAGATTTTCTGGAGAACCGCTGTTAATCGAGTTGCAAAATCAGCTTATCCCCACAGGTACACTACTCCGTTGTGTTTTTTGTACTGACTAACGTAGTGCGACTTTTATGGTCATTTGTGGATCTCTTGCCCCATTTTGTCACACACGAAGAACTCGTACCGAAACTAATGTCCGGTGCAGGTGACCTCATCAAAGCGTTTTGCCTTGACCTTTTCGACTTTGCAGATTTAATGCTCCCTGGCCTTGTTCTAGATAAACCATTGACTCCGTCCAGTTTTGATGGAATAAACAAGGGTGCACTATGTGCAATTTCCACGTCCTCTAACAGGTATTCCCCCACCGCACAGTTCGCTGTGACACTATAACTTCCTCTCGTTTCATTGACAGGGCTCCAGTGGCGGTTGGACACACGACAATGTCCGCTTACGACATGTTCATGAGCGCAGGTCGTGGAAAGGTTGTGAGTATATTTCATGTTTTAGGGGATCACATTTGGTAAGTTGACTGGATTCAGGATTGTTTTGTTTCTTGACTTTGCTCATTTAATTCCGTGGAATGTTCTATCCACTATGGAGTTTTGTTTCAATTTTGGTTTGCTGGTGAATGGAATAAAGCTAACAGCTCTGGGCTTAGTCTATTTAATAGTAACGGATTTTGTAAACTGAATTCGACTTCATCTGTCTCACTTATTGCGCTCTTTAGTAAACGCCGACTCGTTTTTTTTCTTTTTTTCTCTTCGTAGTTCACTAGGCTCACCCTTGTCCCGTCCGATATTGAATTCCATTGTAAAAACACCCACCCAAGATGATACTTCACCAGTTGAAACCGATTTGGACCCACAGTTGCATGCGACAGGTCTTTCAACAGAGTTCATAGAAGCGTCAAACACTAAGCACCCGGATAATAAAGAAGGTACTGTAACATCTCTCTTTAATAGTGATAATGTTTCCTTATCTTGAAACCGACAGTTCACTAACAGGCATCTTGATAACATCTGTAATCATATACTCTTAGAAACGAAATTTTTCCATCAACCTGAATTTAAGAAGAATACTTTTGTGTTTAATCGTGTTTTGTGTTATAGTTCGAGCTAATGGCCAAAACTGTTCGGGTATCACATAGCTTAACGAATAAATTAAACAACTATCTGGTTAACAAAAATGATTCATAGTCAACGAGTAATGCATCCCAAAGTGTGCTTGCTCCAGACGTTCTTTAACAGTTATTTATAAAATTCTGACTGCAACACGAACAGATTTGCATGAACACTCAGCGTTATCGATTCCCCTTCTAGACCAGCCTTACCAGTCATTTGATTTCAGTTTTTACAAACGTCACTTATGCATCTTTGGGCGGTGGTTTTGGTTGTTGTCTTGACCTGAAGGAAGATTGGAATGTTGAGCAGAGTCAAAGAGAAGACGGAGAATCCACATAGACTAAGATTTCAAGGACAATGAATATATACTACAATCAGTAATATTACTGAATGTCTCCCACCATTGATCTCGGTGATCCTGAGTTCACCATCCAGGGAGAATAACTCGATCTATGTGACCGAGTATCCTGAGCAGTAGTTTTATGCCTTTATACCTGGTCGCTAGCTTGACCACTCTTGACTGTTTCACATTCACTACTGGCCTCGACAAACATCGCGCGTCGTGGCAACCTACTAGATGACATGCGCAAAGCATGCCCTAACCAGCGAAACTATCACGATGAGACTGTATATTGACGTGGTTTGATGGATTGCGTGCCTCCATGACTCCGCGAGCTACACGGAATGGGTTTTCACAGCCGCAGATCCAATCATGCATGGAAGGTCAGTGTCACAAGATCAGGTGCTTGGACACCTCTTGGCTTCCTTTGACTATCCACTTGTGCCCCTGGAGAGACCACTCAAGCCAATAAACACAAAACAGCTTAGCAGTAGAAAAAAACGTTGAACCAACGCAGGGGTTGGTTACCTGGGGCCTAATCTCGACCGNCGACCGTGGGAGATGTCTTCGCAATTCACTCGACCGCTACCACCCAATCAAGCTGGACAGCCCAAACCAATAAGGTAGTGTCTTTTCCACACTCCGCCTATCTTATTGGGTGCGTGAGGCTAAGGGCCGACCCAGAATAGTAAACCGTGCATCACTGCACCGGCGAACAATACACCGAACTGAGACCCGAAGGCCTTGCGTGACAGGTCCCTAAGAGATCCCACACGGATGTTTCGGTCACGCCTCCGCATTGGATCTACTCCCCCCCCTTGTGTGTCAGTCTTTTGAATCGAAGGCTCCTACTGATTGCAGTGCGTCTGTCGCCGGAGGTTTCAATACTCACACAGGATCCATGGACAATTCAGGAAGGCTTCCTGGAGGTCCACATGCAATCCCAATCAACTGAACGGAAAAAGGATATCACTTCCACTTCCACTCTGCGCTAACCGCGGATTGTTCCTATCAAGCACAACAGCAAAGGACTCCAATCAACCACATCGTCAACAGTTACCGCTGGTGATTTCCGTTTCTCACAGCTTCGAAACCATTTTTTCTGCCTCGTTAAATAAAGTGATGATAGTCAGGCTTGCCCTCTCTCTCTCTCCTTATCTATTTAACTTTGTTATACATTTGATTATGGAAACAGCCCTATCCTCGTACGAGGATAGTGGCATCGATTTGCTCCCAGGTGACAGGCTGTCTGACCTACAGTATGCAAACGGCATTGCGCTGCTAAGTGAAAATCCAGGTAAGTTGCAAGCTTCTCTGGATAGCCTGAATGCCAGTGTAGCCATGTTCAATATGCGTTTTACACCTTCAAAGTGAAAATGTTACTACAATATTGGGTTGGTTCAGCACCCAGCCTCACTCTAACTGGGGAAGTAATATAGCGAGTGGATAATTTTGTTATTAGGGCGCCGTCGCGACATCCGGCTGTCTGTGAAGGGTCAACCAGTTCGGCCAGTTCCTCTATACAGTGAAGTGACTTAGCCATCAAAACATCATAAAAGTTGAATGTCGTTTTTCGAACATCGCTATGTACGCCGCATTGAACCAATCTGGTGGGGACAACTGGATGAACGATTCCGAAGATAGGCGCACTGTTTTAGGGAGTCGCGGTTGCCCACTGGAGCCAGTGGTCGAACTTCATAGGTAACGTTGATTGGGAAATGCGTTACGCACGTTACCAAATAGATTATCACAACGAACGGGGTTTTACGAGACACATGATGATTGGAGAAGCCAAGAGTGATCAAAATAAGACCTATCACGGTGGTAGGAAAACCCTACCCAGGAAACTTGGTCATATGATTCGCGTTAGGCTCCCAGGATGGAGACAAATTGTGTTAACTGATGTTTAGAGAAAATGTGTGATATGGCTGAGTGTCGTAAACAGTAGCCTTCGTGCATCTCCTCATTATTCTTGGAACCCCATTCTGTATGAATTTTCCATCCCCTGTTTAACTGTGGTGTGATCATGCTGTCCTTCTCTTTTGTCCAAATGGGGAGCCAAAGGCATTCATCAAAACTGGAGTAGGAAGTGTTTGCTTATTGGTTGTAAAAAAAATGAACTGCTAATGTCCTTCAAGATGTGAACAAAACGAAAAGCTGATTGTTTTTAGTTGTAGCAGGCGATTTTAAGGTTAGTGTAGTCAGTTTTAATCTCACCCCTTCGACATTTGACAGTCCGGTTTATATTATTGAATATATTGCCCCCTTGTTATGTTTCCCTTTTCTGATGATTTCATGTTAGTTAGATGCACTGCAGAAAGCATCACTGCATCTCTTTTTTTCTGACAATGGTTTACTTCATTATCAGTCAACACCTTGAAGCAAGTAACCTTTTGTGTGACTCACTCCTGTCTGATGCTTCACATTCTCTATATGCTACCGTCTTTTGCTCCATTTCCACTTCTGTTACCCACGAGAAATTTAAACATTTATACACTCATATCACTACTTTTCTCAATTCTTTTGTACCTTAAGTTTATCATTTTTCGGTTTCAAGGGGATGACTGTCAAATGAGCTGACACACCACCTAATGAAATTCATGTTGCAATTTCTTCTTCCGTTTCGCATTGCTCCTCTTCATTAATGTTGAATTGTTACAGGATATCAAATCACCAAGTCACTTTTGTTTGTATGCATACCCAACTTAACATGGTAACGTTTTTTGATGAGTTATGCCCACAATAGATGAATCACATGCATTCCTGACCTAACTTAGATACGAGCTCATCGTTACTGAAAGCATGGGAGTTCTTTTCTGAACGTTTCACGCATTCCAACTTTTCTCCTTCTTATGACTCAGGCTACGATGTTCTGTTGCGCAATTTTCTCCTGCTCGGTATTAAGACGGTCCAGGACAACCAACTACCAATGCCGGTGAATGTTTTCTATGCGAACCATGTATTGTCTCAAAAGTATGTCAGATCTCCTCATCACGTTTTTGAGACGATCTCTTTCTTCATCATACTTTTTTTTATACAAACACTGAGTCGAACACAGTATCATTCGAATCATGGGTGCTATCGCTATTAGCATCAATTGTTCTTCTGGTTAACCACAAAATCACCTATTGTTTCGGTTTTCAGTTTTGATTCCACTCGCAGATCATTTGTGATTGATTACCTATCAGCTTCACGAGTGTAATTATATGAAACAGTTTTTATCCTCGTTTCCATGATCGCTGGGTTTCAGACCGAATGGAGCACATGGTTCTCTGGCCGCGCTTTGGTTTATAACTCTCACTTTAAAGGCTATCTGATGAGAGTCGCATCTTTGGACTGGGTAAATCGTCCTTCTCCTGACAGGGACACAAAAAGTACGCACTGTTGACGTGTCGCAAACGGGATGAAACAGCTACCCAGTACCCTTTGTCGGTGATCATAAAGATTTCCACAGCATTTGAATCACGAATCAAGCTTTTGTTACTTTTCATTCTCGGTGGGTTACTTACTCATGAGTAGTCACTGTATCAATTGAGTTTTAGTATCCGTTCAAACCCCATTGGACGCATTTAACCCCATGCCTCCTTAATGTACAGGAAAATGCACCCGTAATTCTCAAAGACCTTCTTCTTCTGTACTTAATGGATGAATCCCGGAAGACGGAAGTTCGGGTTATCTGTGAACACAGATAGTTTTAGTGAAGTAGTATAAATCGCTGTCAACAATACCCGTTCACAAATTGTACGTGCGAATCCCGTCAGCCACCTATGCCCTTGCAACTTATTGTGCGTAGAATTGATCGCACTAGATGACAGTGAAAATCGTACATTTGTACATTAGCAATTGTACGTCAATCCAAGATACTTAAGTTAATAAGGTTTCATGTCGTTTTTTATATCATTGTGTACATAACTGTGGAGAAAATATTCGTTAAAAGGTATATCTGGGTAGATCGATAGTGAATACACGGCTTCTGGGTTTTGAAATTAAGTTACGAACTTCATTTGAGATTTCCCAATGGTTTTGAATATAGTTATCCTCCAGTTGTGCTCCAGTCTATGGCAATTCTTTCCATGCGGCTTCAATTTATCTATCCATAGACGTTATTAATACGCTTAAAATCACTTGCATATTCCTGCAACCAACTGTCATGTTTTCGGGTAGTTGCCTCGTAGCGTTTACTCCCGGGTATGCTGATTACTCACTTTTCATGGTGCGAAGGTTACTTTTCTTCGATTACCGTGAATGTCAACTATTGGATTTACCATTTGCAGACAGGATATCCGTTTCATTGTGTTACGTGATACGACCTGACATCTATCCGTTTTCACTCACTCACATATGATCATTCAATGACACTAATAAAGTACAGATATATATATATATATATATATATATATATATATAAGCTAAATCTGCTGAGTTTTCTTGAGAAATTGACCAGTGAAGACTGGGCGGTGTTAAAAAAACAACGTCCAAATCATCCTGTCGACGGAATCCAACATCTCAGGTACCCCGCTCGATGCCCCATCACGTCGATGATCGCAACTAGATTGTGGTTCGTACGTATCTTGGTTGGATTCTTGATCAGCTCAATGGTTGGATTTTCGTCCGCCCACTTTGGTGGGAAAACACCTTCACCACTCGAAGGGCCTCAACTACAGAGGCTGTTCGAAACCCTTGATCGTTTAGGAGCCTTTCGTGAGGTGTAAAGGAAGAATAACCAGTTACTACCCAAGACACCCATCCTCAACCTTCAGAGGACCTCACCTATAGGTCACCATTACAGACACTGTGGAATTAAATTAGATTTGAGGTGCACTCAGTAGCAATCAGTCTTTTCTAAAGCTGATCAGTAGGTCATTGTACCTCTGTAGTTCACTCCTTTCTATACTGTTCATCACCGTTTTGGTGGGTCAATAAACCCGATCGAACGCATAACAACTCGGACTCAGCTTATCGCCACGCACATCTATTCAGTTGTTCTACCCTTTCCGCATGTGATACGTAAGTATTGATGAAAATATCACCGATCACTGTTCTCTGTGTTGTTTGTCTGCATTCTGATGACTTAGTACTTTCTTTTTTCATCCACACACCCGTTTCTTCACCAGGCCCCCAACTTGTAATTTGGACATAAGAAAAACGAGCTATAAAAAAGTAAGTATCGCCAGATTTGTGGTTTTATCCTGGTGTTTCTCAACCCAAAACGATCTGCGCTGGTTACTCGATTTCCGTTATTTGGGTGTTTGACTGTATGAGTTAGAATTTTTACTTTGAGACCCCCCCCCCTCATTATAAAACCTACATGTTTGCCAAAAGACATCATGCACCGTACAATCTGATTAAGTTTTTCTTTATGGAGATTGCACCTTGACGTGGTGTGATGGCTTGTGCACCCCTGTGACCCAACGAGTTACACAGGATGGCTTTTGTCGAGCCATAGATCTAATCACGCCTGGAAGGTCAATGGGTAGAGGTCGGACAAGGTTCAGTCTTCTGGTCCTCCGGGTTGGGGTTTCGACTTGAGTTGGAGTTTCAGTTGGTCAAACGTGTTGGAGGAGTAATTGATCCAAGTTAATGAGCCTCCAGTCCGCCTTAACCACTGCCTTGCAGTTAGGTTATTGTCAGAACTAAAGGATTTGTTTGAGAACCCTAATCGTTCTCCTACGTAGTGGTTAGACTCCCTGGTAGTACCCGACCATGAAGCTCCAATAAACACAAACTAGAAATAATTCCATACTGTATCGGTCGTCGTGCAGGAGATTCAGGACCGCGCTGTCCATTGCATCGAGCGGGGTGGGTAGTGATAAGTGGGCTACTGCTAAGACATCCCAACCTTTGTTTAACTC